AAATTAAATTAGAGGGTTAAAAATGATTTGATCAAAATTAAATTAAAATTGAACTAGTTAAGAATCTTGAATAAAACAATAAAAATAAAATGTTAAGGTGAATTGATCGATTCTAATTGCAAACTTGCCGAATTTGAAGCTGAATCGACCAATTCTTAGATTACTTGGTGGGTAAAATTTCAGATTGCATCGAAAAAGTATATTTCGATTATAAAATTTCTTGAAATACTTATTTGACATTGTTTATTGTGAGAGTAAAATCACAATTGATGCATATGTTCATTTGTCAATCTCCCTTCTATTAGTATCACAATGTCGATTAAAGGAAGTCGCATCAGAATTCAAACTGAGTATAACTTTATTCGACTGGTGAAATGTTAAGGAATAATATCTCACATCGAATATATATGAAAATATAGACCAATTTATAAGAGTTTGTGCTAACTTCTCTTAATAAGGTTGACCTTTTAAGATGTAACCCTAAATTTTAACATGGTATCAGAACCCGTTAAGTTTCAACGAGAAATTCGATCTGATTAAGACTAAAAAAAATTGAGCACAAGGATTTCAAGATTTGTCTGATTAAACGAGCCACCATCTTGCGGGGGCATGTTAAGGAATAAAACCTCACATCGAATAAAAATGAAAACATAGACCAATTTATAAGAATTTGAGTTACTCATCTTAATAATGTTAATCTTTTAAAATGAAACTCAAATCTCAACCTGAAAGATCCATGTCGCTTAAAGGAAGTTGTATAAGAATTTAGACTTGAATGTATTTTCCTTGGTCTCTATAAAAAAAATATATATGACCACAATATTTATAATTTTTATGACTTTTTTTTTTTGTCTTCTATTTCTTTTTAACTTTATGTTATTCCCGCATTACAAGAAATACATCAATAAAAAAACACGCGATTGGTCGGATGAAAAATCTGCAAAAATACTAAAAATCTTTATCTATGAAAATGAAAGAAAAATGTAACTATCATTTATATCTTTATCAATATAATTTAGATGATATCATTTTTCAGATAATCTTATCAAGTAGGTTACAAGTATTGTACCATGTAACTTAATCATAGGCTTATAGTAATAGTATTTATTGACTTTTTGGGTCATTTTTAGTGGGGTGATATATACTTGTATATATGTTTTTATATTTGTTGATCAAGCTTCGATTCAACTTTATACGCGTAAATTTAGTATATTAGAAGGGGATAAGACGATGTTAAAATGGATACAGAGTGATATTATGCTGAATAGAACAAGAAATTAATTTAGATTTAAAATATAAAAAGATAATGACCATTTTGCAAGAGTACGTTTTGCATAATGAAAATGAGATCGCAATTTGCAACCGATGAATCGTATAAATAATTTAAGTTTATCGAGAATAAAATTTAGATTGTTGCCATTGTCGTTTCTTGTAATTACTATGCACATTCACACTTTTTTTTTTTTATGCAATGTATAATTACGTTTTTATTATAAAATCAGTCTAATAGTCTTATTTAATATCGCGTACTAAATATATCAAGTAATTGTAAGATTTATGTTAAAAGGGGGAAAAAAACCAATGTTTCTGTGAGTAAACATCACCTGGATTGCCTATGTCCATAATACACCAAACCTAAGACAATTAAGAATTCATATAATTATAATAAATATTATTTAGGACTACCTAATAAAGAAACTTTGTCCCATATCCCTTTATGGATTCCCCCCCCCCCCCCCCCCCCCCCCCCCC